AGATTAAGTAAAACATTAATAATATTTCTTCGAAACGATTAATTATACTTTTGTCAATTCGTAATGAACGAATAAAGTTAAATTGTAAACAATTTTTACTTAAAATAAAAATTATGTAACTCCATCATACATTAATCATTTTCGTTAATTGATATGATATTAAATCTTAAACAATTGAACGATTGTGTGTCTAAATAATACGAGCATTGATTTCAGATTTTCTTGCAGTTAAAATTTATATCGCCTACGTAGACGCAGCCATTAGACGTCGTTGAAATTGGTTGCGTTCAACTTAGTAAAAACAGGGTTTCAACAATAAAACAATTAGGTTATAGTTTTCTATTAATAATTATTTTTGAAATCTGTTTTTACCAAGTTGATTGCAAATTAACTCGGCAACGTCTATTGGCTACGTCATATAAATGTTATACATTTTAACATTGAAATTATGTAATTATATATTGTTTTAAAATCATTGGAGCGATTAAAATATTGCATATTAATACGTACCCTAAATGTGCTCTTGGTTGTAACAACAAAATCGAAAAGTAATTTATAACGTAGCTTTCATTACGAATAAAAAAAAAAAAATTTAAAAATATATTTTTAATAACTGTCGTTAGTACGCGCCCTACTGATATCGGGAACACAGTTAAACGAGTATCAACAATGTATTCCCGTCGATTTATCAGATATTCGACTGTGGCAAACCAAAAGGGTTAAGGTTACCGCCAATTTATTAGTGCGGTCGTTACACGCAGTTTGCGCGTTCGGGTTTTAAAAATTCACTGTCGAACCGAGTGGCCACTGTCAATCACTCGCGAAACAACACTACCGAGTGTTAACGTGCAGCAGCAAATCGGCCTTGTAGATTGACAGGTTAAGAATGATTATCGTTAACTATACGCCGTTAGGAGATCTATAAGACCGTCCAGTGGTCGCACCGCTAACGGGTTGAACCGTGTTTTATGCACCTGATCGAAACCTTTCCTCGAGAGGCCTAATGTTGTGTGTACTACGGTTAGATTTTTATACCTACAGAAAAATAAGCATGCCAGGCGAAATTCGAAAGTGCGCAGCAACGTCTTATTCGCTGAAGTCACGAAAATGATTACGCGACTAAAAAAAACATCGTAAATTCAGTTAAAAGGAATAACGGATAAGAAAATCACAACGCCAAAAAGTCTACGATCCATTTCAATCAATTTTTTAGTAGACATATTTATCTTTATTTGTAAAATACGTCACAGTCCAACCTAACCATATATTAATACTCCATAATAATAACGTACGGATATACCATCCTAATATTTGTACTCTGTAGCGGCTACGTGGATGCAATCACTAGACGTCATTGTATTCGTTTGCGTCTGACTTGATAAAAACACAGGATTCAAACAATGGTTTTCCAGTTGTTGTTTTCGTTGTTGAATACCTATTTTTACCATGCAAATTATTACTAGCCGTTGCGTCCACGTGGCCGCAACCAATTTGAATAACATAGTCAATGTATATCTACACATTATGAAATCAACGGTAGTACAGAAAATGTATAATCCTGCTCTGCTGATTTCGACGAGAGCTACGCGGGCATATTACGCAAGACACGTCATTATTCACACGACCATTTGCATCGATTTTTCGATTTTCCTCTCCACCGCCGTCGACGTCATTGTCGTCGTCGGCCAAATGATAAATATAAACATATATCCTACACACACATATATATGTATTTTTTCTCCTCCGTATAGACGAATTGAGGACGAATATTGAATATTATTACCCGACACGAAACAACCGTGTGTTGTACCGTAGAAGCAATTTCAGGATAAGAACACAATTCAACAGCTAATGTGAGGGACACGCACATAAACATATTTGAAAAACTCGAAGCACTTAGCTAACGTGATACGAAAAACATACTCGAGTAGAACGTCCTTCTCTAAGTATTGTTTTGTTATTCTGATCAAAATCCTATATCTTATGTACACGAGAAAAAACACCGATAGTCCATAAAATTGCATGTAGTTTACTGTTTAGTTTACACAGTGTTTACAATAATCATTTAGTGGTCTAAAATCTATAAAAATAAATATCCACTAATTAAGTATGATTTTATCTATTCGAACGTATATGCCTTTATGAGCATTGAAAAGTGTGATAAAAACTCTAAATAATTTTACTCCATTTTCTTCGAATATTATATATATATATATATTATATTTTATTTTTCACGACTGATTAAAATGTCCAACTCTCATAATCATACTATAATCCGATAAGTAGGTACTTTAAACTATTTGAAGTATTGCAGTTTAAATTTGGTCAATTCAGCTGTTATGACGAATTATGATTAAGTACGCTTAAAAGGGTTAAGGGTTAAAACTCCTCTTTGAACATCTTCAATACAATTTTTTTTTTTTTTTATTAATTTGTAGAAAATATTTGTAAGCTTAATTTATCTTCTAATCACGCTTAAATAATTTAATCAAACACTATTACCGAAATTAATAAATATTTTAAATAACGTGAAGTTTTACTAAAACAAATTTATTTTTGAATTTGTATGACAATTACAAAAGACCATATTTATATAAAATTGTTTTAAATTTTACAGCACAGTTTTGTGAAACATTTTATTCTGTTGCTAACTGAATAATAAAATTTAAAACGCTTTTAACAATGACGAAAAATAACTATCGAATTCTTATACAATAATTTGTTTTTTTTTTATGAATAAAATAATTTTGCAGTATTTTATAGCAAATACATGTATAATTTTAATTTATCTACATAGCTTTGCACTATTAGGCATCGTTTAACTTGTTCTCTATAAAGAATGTCAAGAATATGTTTTAGATCTTCAATGACAACTTTATCCTTACGGGATAAGTTTGAAAAACAATATAAATAATATAATGTGTATCTTGTGGAGATTCAGTAATTTAAAGTGGTTGGCTAATGTAAATTCCATTATCTCATCATGTTAAATTATTAAAACCCTATAGTGTTATACCCTTAAGTAAAATGAGCTCAGCCCGAATGTGTCTTTTGTGTTCAACAATATTTGCTTTGTAACTTAATACATTTACAATATCTATACGATGGTGTGGTTCATTCTAAGCACTTATCATCTACATAGCTAATAAAAACAAAATGTTCAGTTACGTTGTAAACATTAAAATTAATTTGAATCAGTGATGCATATCTGTACTGAATATTTGTATACCTAATTCAAATTTTTAATCTTTCGGTAAAAAATATGAATATTTTATTAGTTTTTGTTATTATTTCTTCAAAGCACACGGATTTAAAGTGAATAGTTACTATGGAATAATATTCCAAAGTATTTTTAACCTTTTAACTTGATCTTTACACTACTCTGGAATTAGCGAAAATATTGAAGAATGTTTTTGTTTTTTTTAACCAGAATTAAAAACAATAGCATCAAAAGTAAAATATTAAAATCTAACTTTTTGTAATGAATAAAATAATATATATATATTATGTCTAAGTATATATTCTAGTTGAATTTAAACAAGTTCAGCTTTCTTGTTTCTTTATATTATTCTGTACTTGTAAAACAAAGGTAAACGGCTCTGGAACATTCAATTAATGAGCTTATCTAACCAATTACTAGGTTAATGTTTTTTAAAATAAACTCAAGGTTACATAATTCTTTAATTTTATTGTTTCCTTGATATTAATAAATGTTGTTTTACCATAAAATGGCAATTTATTTGAAACTTAATTTCTTATTTTTCCACGGAAGTTCCAAATATAGTAAGTATTTGATTTTAGTAAACTCATACACTGAATAGTCAATACTTCACTCTTGGAACTCGTAAAGTCGGAACTACTTATAAAATAATGAAAATCATCAAATTAAGATTATATAGAAAAAAATATTATTAACTTAAAATAATTTTTTATGTATTCTGTATTCATCCTGATACATACAGAGCAATTTTCATTTTTTATTTTTGTGTAACATTTTAGTGATTAACTATCATTAAATATTATACAAAGTATATAAATACTGCTTAATGGTACACTACATTACTACAATAAACTTTAAACACTTAGGTACTTATTGATAATAATGATTATAATCGAGTCTTCATAGATATAAGAATATGAAATATTGATCAAAAAAAAAACATTTTTTGAAAATATCTTTTTTTTTATCTATATAAAAATGAAATTATTTTTCATCTTTATCTAGATATACATTACTATAATAAAAATTAAACACCTATGTACCTATTGATAATAATGATTATAATTGAGTTTTCATAGATATTATTAAAAATATGCAATATTGATCAAAAAATAAAAATGTTTGAAAATATCTTTTTGTTTATCTAGATAAATTTTACATTATCTATTTCCAACACTGCACACAAACAAGTAGTAAATATTAATAATACAATACCTATTATAAGTATTTATATACATATTAAACAGTTCAATATAAAATTATTTTTCTGTTTTTGTGATGTTCTGAAAACAATTGTACAAATATATCTAAATCTAAATTTTTAGAAATTTTTTTCTATGCTTATTGAAGCCAAATTATTTAAACGTTAATTTGTCATTCGATTTCGCATATAATTTTTCAGTCGTCTCAGACATGAAAAAGTTCTTTCACAAGCTGCACTTGATACTGGAACAGTAATTACAACAGTAGCTAGCTTATAAGTTTAATTGAAAGTTAACTTATACTTCTCAAGTAGTTCAATTAGATTCACTAGGTTGTTTATTTTAACATTAAAATGTTGAATTTGATATTTTTTGATAGTTGTTGGTAAAATTTTTAGTTCTTCCCTTAGATTTTCTAGATAAAGATTATAATGATCAATTAAAGGTTTCAAATGTTCATAACTCAAAAATTGTTCATTTTGGGGATTATTATTAGCATATGGCCTCGGCATAAATTAAACAAAAACAAAATAAATAAATAAATAAATAAATGGTAATAACAATAAATAGTAATAGCAATAGTAATAATAATAAATAAACAAATAAAAATAGGTTTTTTGGGGATGTAAGTAAGATATTGATGACAACACACAATGATTATCTGTAAATCGTGCTTTTAGTTCTTTTATTATATAATCCAAAGCAGGTATGTATACATGTTGTCTTAAACCATTTTTTGATGAATCTCGATCAGTTTCTTAAGTACTGTTCTTAGCAAATATGTACTGTTTAAATTTTTCAGAGACTTTTTTGTTCTTTTTTTTTACTTTGTTCATTTGGTATTGATATGTTATTTTCTTTACAAATATGTAATGATTGTTAATGATTGTGCAGCTTTAAACCCCATGAAACGTTCATATGCTATACCATCTAAGTAATATCTTAATATAACTGATAAATGTTCCACTTTAGTAATATCTTTTGTTTCATCAACAATTATAGAAAAATACTGACACTTTTGTAATTCATCAATGATTTTGTTACGGATCATTTTATTGAAAATTGAAAACATTTCATTCTGGATTTGAGGGGGTTTGTATATTCAGCATTATTTGGTAATGTTTTACTTTTACTTTTAAATTCATCACTAATATCACTAATTAAATTTAAAAGTTCAATGAAGTTACCATGGTTAGCATAACTGTCTTCTTCATTGACACTCCTCTGCGCTATGCCTTGTATTGCAGTGTACAACAAAGTTTTCCCAATCATCTTGATATAATTTTGATTTCCTTAAACTAATTTTTTATGACCTTCATTTATCAATAATACCACAGACAAATTACCTAATTTTTTCATATCTAAGTAGGAGTTCCACGTAGTGTTTGAAATTGTGTGTTCTTCACTATTATTGTGTTTCCTTAAACCAGAATTTTGATCTAATGCATTTTTCCAATTTTTGAAACCTACACTTATAAAAATCGGTTTGTCTTTGTTTTTGGCAAAAAAACGACATGGAAAACAAAAAGCAGAATTATCTATTATACTAAAGCCATTTATAACTATCAAACCATTTTGATGAGAAATGTCTCATTCTTTTACCAAATTTTGTATTAGAGTAACATACCAATTTTGGCTGTTTTAGTCCATCATCTAGGGTTTGAGAAAGATCATTTGGTCTAGGAACTTGTTTAACGGTTTTGACTAATTGGCTTCTTGTAGGACCAAATGTAATATCACTAGTATCATCAATTGTATCTTCAGATTCACAGTTATCAATATCATGACTACTTGTATTAATATAATCTAGATTTGATATAATATAACTAAAAACACCATGATCATCATCACTGGAATCATTTTCCCTTGTTTTTTTGGTCACGTCGCCTAAGAAATAAAAAACAAATTTTTAAATTAATAAAATATAATAACATATAATTTATATATTTAGACGTTTCGACAGCATTACATTTTAAAGAAATAACATAATTATTTTTATATTATGTTAATGCTGGATTGCATAGAATACTTATTTAATATTTTAAAATTAATATATATATATATTATATTTATTTATCTAGTAAACTTAATGATTCATTCTTCTTAGTATACATAAATGGAAGTAAGTACTGTTTAGTGTTTAAAGGTCATTAATATTCAAAGGTATAACAAATATTATTATTATATGCAACTCAGAATTATACTTTAACATATTATAATAAATATAAAATATGTAGTATTTTTTATTAATATATAATATTATAAAGTAGGTGTACTTTATAGATATTTCATCATAATTACAAATATATTTAAAAAATATTATTGATTATATTTACCAACATCTTCAAGTTGTAATTTATAAGAAGCTATTGAGAATAATGGTTCTTTGCTGAAGACTTTCTCAGTCGTAAATTCAGAATTACAGCTGCCTGATAAGTATAAAATATATAAATTAATTCTTTGTAAAATAAAAATGACTGTAGTTTTTATTTTATGGTATAAAACAGCGGTTCCCAACCTTTTTTTTTAGCGGTGCCTTTTTTTTAGACTCAATTTAGCCACGGTGCCCTGCTATGAATAACATAAAAAGATAAAAAAAAATACTCATTGATAACTAATTTTATTAATTTTATTAAAATTTAACTTAATTATAAATTAATGAATTTTTAAACCTAAAGATTAAATAAAAAAAATTATTGTTATCATTATTATGATTATTACATAAAAATATTATAAGATTAAAATGAGAATGGCCGAATATACAATAAAAAATATTTCATTATTTGCTATAAAGTTTTTACGAAAACAATAAGGAAAAAGAAATCTAAACATTTTAACTATTTGTTATGAACCGTAGACCACGGTGCCCTTAGAAAGTGTTCGGGGTGTATAGAATACGTTTCATTGCATTAATAAATGTATTCACACTACACACAATGGTACAACATACAGTTAGACAGTTAGCATTTATGTTTCAATACAAATCAAATTGCAAAAAAAACATTCCATTAGGACATTATAATTTAACATGAATAAAATAAATCGTCCAAAGTCCAAACCAGTATAAAAACTATAAAAGTAGGCGTACTGCATACAGTTGGGGATCACTGCTGGACATAGGTATTAAATGTACTAACTATACCCGACTCATATTAATTATGTTATAACTTAGTTATGTATAATATGGAGTCATGTAAATTTTATACACAATATACTATATATACAAACATATTATATATATATTGTTCTGGGAAAATATACAACAATAATCAGAAACAACGATTATCGATATCTAAAAATAACAAAAACTAAAACCTACCGCCATTACGTCCACGTCGTCAACGGCGTTGAAGTGTTCATAAAATTATATTTAATGACGACTCCAACACTGACGGTCTACACTGCTCTACAGATAGTAGTACGCACTAACTGCTAACAGCATGCTAGTCTTTTATCTATTATTTTCTATAAAATTGGTATGTCTATCAAAACTCCTATTATTTATCTTTTTCAGAAACGTTATCCATAAATATAAAAATTAATTATTATAATAATAATTGTATTACCTAGTAGTAATCACAATATATTTATTTCAAAGTGCACAATCACATTTTTGATAATTGGTAAAAATAATTATATTTTGAATTTTAGGGGTGGCCAGCCCTGGGCCAGAATAAATTTAAAGTGGGCCCGATCCATCCAGGCTTAACCTCTGACTACGTGCCTGTGCATAATAATGACTAGCTGTTTTAAATTCCAATTTATTTATGATCTCATAATCTCCTATTGTAATACAAAGTCTGTTTATTATTTTGTTTCATAAATTCGAAGAGAAAATAGGAAATTTTAATTTTTTTCATGTAATTATGATCTAAAATAATATTGTTCTTATTTGTAAATGGTAATTTGAATATAAATTACTGAGAGATGAATTAAAATATTAATAATTACAAGTCAAATTATTGACAATTTACTACAATCTTTAAATAACAAACTTTTTTCATTATTATTGTTAAACTAGTTTTAGAACGCTATGTATTTAATGTAGGGTAATGTAATATTCTCTTTGGACCCAGTAATCATATGAAATTGAGAAAAAAATCTTATACAACACTACAATTAATGACTCGTACTCTAAATTGATACGCATTTTTTTTTTTTACAAATAAACAATCGAAATTATTTTAAAATTAAAAATTATTCCAAGTAAACTCTAAGTCCCATTTCCACTAAAAATGTCATAAATATATACTATCTAACTTTAGCATTTAATAATAATTATTAACAGTACTATAGTATGTACTTGACAAATATACATACAAATATTATTCAAACCTTTATTATTATCATAAATCTATCTTTAAGCGGTTGACTTTATATTTTTTAAAAGTTAAAAAATATACTACAAAAGTATTATAAAATTAATATTTTGAGAATGGGAATATAGTTTTATCTGTTAATTAATTACACTGTATAATTTAAATAAAAAAAAAAATTATTATTTTTATAATCATTCATAACTTATAAGTATAATAAAACACTTTATAACGATGATAAATTTAAATATTAAAACAATATAATAAAAAATAATGTAAGATAATATTGTAGCTAATTTGCATATCTTATTATTTACTGTACTTATTATAACATAATAACGCACACGAATATAATTATACTCGTGTATACATATATATTATATGTATACGAATCAAAAATAAATAACAATTATGATAATAATTATTGTATCTGCAATTTTTTCTTTATACTACTTTTAGAAATATTTATGTTGTAAAGGGAAAATTATCTTAACTTTGGGTACTATAAAAGCCCATCCGAGTACACGTTAAATATTTCATCATTATTGTACCTATTCTACAAAAATTGTCTTCATGGGTACATTGATTACATTTTATTAAAAAGGTATAACCGTTAACCCAATACATTTATCATAAGCTATAATTTTCAACAAATCATTTACTCAAATATACCTTTTTTACATATTTCAAAGAATGATGAAGTGAAGAGTAGTATGTCGTTTTCATCCCTCCTCCATCCATAGATCATCTCTTACATCATAACCAATACATGTTTCATTATTCGTTTTCTAGATACGCTGTCAAGAAGGCGAAAGACATTACACGTACGATCTGGACGAACGTCTCGTAGAATTTGGTACGGCTGTACACGACAGCGACTTCGGACGTGCTATACTGTACCTTGAAAGTTTGGAGGATAGCGATGATCATCAGTACGAGGTTGATGGCATGTGGCAGAACCTGTCAGATATTGGCCTTCAACTAATGAACTTGCCAGTAGCTGCTAGGTGTTTGGCAGGTGTCGGTGACTACTGCAAAGCGTGGTATCTGCAAGAAACTTATAAGTTGGCCGAAAAGTTTGCAAAGGAAAACAGTTACGTATAGAATTAAAACTATTATCGAAGTAATCTTCAATCGCTGGTATATACTCGTACACTAACACTTTTAAATAATCTCCCGTTATATATACTTTAGATACTAATAATATTATTCGGTGTTATAATACTCCGCTTGCAGATAAGAGGATTCTATAACCATATAGGTGCGAATCGATGCAAGACGGAAGATTATGAACACTTGATCGTCTTAACTTCTACGATACACAATCAGTTGTGGTGAAAGTGTATTTGTTGTTCAGCTAACATCTTTGGTCGATTTACTTTAATGAGATACTATTTTTGCTGGTTATTACACACACACACGATTAAAAATGCACAATGAATGTTTAAATAATATAAGCATTACAAATCGGTATTTGTATTATTTCAGGGAAAAGTTTTGACAAATCATCGTGAGATGGTTTTTTCAATTATCTAATAATACTTCCGCTTTGCAATACAATACACGTATATACGAGATAGTCTCGTAGATAGTCTTGTCCTTTATTTATGGGCGTTATGATATGTGACAAACTATTATTTATAATTATACATATTCTCATGCCTTTAATCGTGTATGGCACAATGTCCTGCTATTTAAACTTAAGAGTTTTCTTTCTCCTGCATACTATTTACTCATAAAATTGTATCTCTCAATATATATTTTTAAATTCGTTCCAGTTCAACCCTATCAGAAATAGCTGCTATAAATACTGGTGTATCTCAAGGATACATTCACTCATCTTATACTTTACAAAATTTATACTTCAGATCAACCCAACATTCCCTATATATCAGTAACTGATTAATCAGACGATAAAATGTTAATTTTATTAACGCTAATTCTCTCAATGTATCATAAAATTTGCAAAATTACATACACTCAATGGAAAGTTGGTTTACATAATGGTTATTCAAAATTAATCGAAGCAAATCTACACTAACAACTTTCACTCACACACTTGCCCCTTTCCCCAACACCACCTTATAGGGAAGTCTAATAACCAAATATCCAGTTGTCAAGTATCTCAGTCTTATCTTAGATCAAAAACTTACTTGGATTTCTCATATTGAATCCTAAAGGTTGACTTTAAATAACCTAGTACGAATGCTGAAAATGGTATTACGTAATAATAAATACTCCTCACTAAATGTTGAACTTCTTATATATAAATACCAACTTAAGCCTGTTCGGCTCTACGGAATACAACTCTGGGGAAACGCAAAAAAGTAAAAATTAAACAAAAATGTAGGTCTTACAAAATACTGAAACTATCAAATGCACCTTTGTATGTATTAAATCATACACACCACTCAGATCTAAATATAAAAACACTAAATAAAGAAACCGAGTTATACTATAAAAGGTTTCGCGATAGGTTACCTAATAATCAAATCCTCTAATTAAAAATCTAGCGTATACTACTAAACCCGGTAATCCAACAAGAATATTTAAGCGCAAGTGATGTCATGATATTTTACGTTACTAACACGTGCATGCATTGAGATTTGAAAGTGTCATCACTGTATTATTTTTTTCTTCGAAGTACATTCATGCTATTCTTTACTCTTAGCCTATATCCTATTGGATCAATTTACATCAGATTTTAAATTATTTGTTTAAATAAAAAAATAAAATTAATTAAAATAAAAATATTTATTAAACATGCCTCAAAATTAACTGGTGCTCTGACTTGATAACTTAAGGCTTAAATACTTAATAATATAAGAGGTATTGCAAATGTGTGATTTCTTTCATGTGTGTGTTGAAATGCATTCAAATTCCAAATTATAAATATTACCTATACCAAATATGTAAATTGTATTATATTAAAATAAAGTTATTTTTTTCTAAAAACAAAATAAAAAAAAAATTATATTTGTATTCATCATCGAAAATAAATATTATTAGTAAACCCATCGGTAATCTTTCTAAAATCACTATTTATACAAGTATATAGTTAATATTAAATTTTTTCTTCTTGAAAATTTAAAACTTTTAAGTAGTTAATTGACAATAAAAGGATAGACTTGGAAGTACACTACGTATATTATTTTTAAATTAAATTAATTACTTATTTTGGAATAGCTGAATGCATCAATTTTACAATTTTATTTTCCTCGTATTAAACTGAAGGAGGATGGAACTTTTTTCGAAATGTAATGTTCTAACTGATCCCATTCATTTAATGTCAATTTATAAAGAGACTACACATACGATAAATTTGCTATTTCTTTCTATCTTGATGTTACCCGACAGTTACAATTAAATATAAATAACAATGGGAAAGAAATTGCAGATAAAATACGAAAGAAAAAACATTTAATCTCAAAACTAACGGTTGTTTTTAATTTAACAAGACTGACAATGTAACCGTAATGACCGTGTTTCGTATTTGTAATTTTTTTTTATCTTATTTGCCACCCATATTCTTGCGATGCACGAATATAATCTCACAACAAAATGCAATATCTATGAAAAAATCATATTGAATATAAATGTATTTAAATAATTTATTTTACGAAATGTAGATTATTCTAAATTTCTAATACAATCTTCATTACGCTGATACAGCGAAAAAAAATTCTTTTATTATTCCTGATTTCATCCTTCACGAACTCTACTTGTTTCATAAGTGTGGTTTTATGTATTTTTAATTATTGACGTAAAATACCGAATAATTTATGTTTTACTTTTTTTTTTTTATAATTTTTTTTTTTTTTTTTTTGAGTAATCACCAAATGTGTAGATAATGGATTTTATGTACTTAGTCATTTATTAAATACGAGCACCGAAACGTTTGTATAGTCTAGAATAAATACAAGTGTCAGGCACACGTTAAAGTTAGACTTAATATAGCTTTACTATTGATCAGACCATAGAGTATGCTTTTTATTGACATCATATAGTCGGTGAGTAACTAAGTAAGTGTATGGGTAAATAAAATACTTCACACATTTGTTAAAGTGGTTTTCATTTTCTTTGACCATTCAACACAACATTTTGAAGTGTCGATCCTATCGAGTTGAATACCGTCATGAAATCGTTTTGATTCCTAGTTATAAAATTCGGGTCAATACAAAACTATATTCTGTATTACAATTATTAGATGGTCGGATAATATTATTTATCACTTATGTCATTCGCATTCTGCAAACTATTAAACATTACAATTATTAGTTTCAACGGTTTCAAATTATTACTTGGTTAAGTATTGATATCCAAAACGTTTTCAGTTTTGTTAAAGCTTCAGAGTGAATAACCTGGAATTTTCATTAGAATCTTAATAATTGAAATTATAATAATGAATTAGGTGATAATATTTTTCAAAAATACTATTCCAAGTCTAGACCCAATTCTGTATTTATACCTATTTACTCGTATTAATCTTACGAATCTTTAAAACCATTTTCTAAACATAAAAAAAAATCTACCATCATTATAAGACCGATTTTGCACCTAATAACTATAACTATGTAGTAACCCGAAATATACTTTAATAGTCATCTACATAGTAGTTATTTATGATTTATGTACATTATTAATTAAAGCGTATGTTAATGTTTTAAAATTAAAGTAAACATCTCAACATCTTAAGATCTGATCTTACTTCATTTATTTATTTTTTTTTTTTATAATTGTCAACTCTATAGTAGAGCAAACTTTAAGATTATGATCGAAGCAAGAAATTTAATGGTTTTTCAATATTAGTTTATTTCTGGGATCAAACTTTTGTGTATTACAATTGCAACAAAAGTCCCATTAGATTTGAAATGAACCAGATAGGAACTTTTAAGAGATCATTTTTCGATTTCTTTTCTTCTATCGTAGGTTTATTCGTATACAAAAAAAAAAAAAGAAACTTGAATTCAATATAAAATTTTGTTCGGGTGTCGTTCATATTCCGTTTGATAAAATACACGATTTTGAACAAAAATCTTCAAAATTACATGCTAGACAGTCGCTAAAAACTTAAACGAAAACGATCTCTGCAAATGCGGACGACGTGAATCTCATTTGTTACGTGGAGGTATCAAAAAAAAAATATATCATATTTCAACGCGCACGAAACAATACAATTAATCGGTATCCATAACTGCGTGCAGTGCAGTGTTATAATACCGTGCCGATTAGATGTAATATTCGAATGGGATGTACAATAAGCGGTGGAGAACTTGGCAAAATCAATTATTCGTAATCGGCACGTATCCGCCGAAACGGGAATACGGTATATATCTTACGTTGAGAACGATAGTATTTCCATCACACTGCTCTGACCGACGGATTCGCAGACCCGTGCCGACGGCGGCCAATGTTAATTATCCGGGAGATATTATAATGAATGGAAACGAACGGGAAAAGAAATGCGCGGTGGAAGTGCGCGCGCTCGGTACCGTTTCACTGCGCGCCGGAGCCCATTTATCTTTTGAGGCGAAAGAGAATTCCGGAGAGAATATTTTCCCATTTATAATCACCCAAGTCGTTGTGGGGAATCGCCCGGTCGCGACATTTGCAATTATCATAATTTATCGGGTTGATAAAGAGACAAATGAATCGTAAAGGCTAAAACGTTGTGTTGGGTAGGCGGGAGGGTTTGGTACGCAACGAGAGAGGGCAAAAAATATGTCTACTTCCCGTGGACCCGACCAGTGGCATACCATCACCGTTGATTCACATATAATTAATATGCGATTTCGCCACATTACATTGAAAATCAATAAACGATACAATAACCCCGCTGCTTTCGGGGGAAATATTTTTTGATCCTAAGTTTAAAAGTCATATTTATTGTATAATATTTATTTTGGAAAATTTTTTCGACGTTTCCAACGCTTATGCTCGTACTCATCGTCGTCGGTCTTTACACATAATAAGATTTAGCTGCTGATATCGCATTGATTAAATGGCACTTTTTTTGGTAGGTATCGAAAAATTGCGATAACGTATTGAACATTGACAATCGAAACCAGGAGGAAGTAAATATAAAAAAAGAAA